TCATAGCGGTTTTGATAGACCCAAACAACTCTAGAATCTGACCCCAGACAATCTCGACCACCTCCTCACGTATGATCTCCCTGACACGGTCCTCTGTCAACACTAGCTCCTCTTGGCCGATAACCTCAGGTGTGGTCGGGGACTCCTGATCGCCCTGTCCTGATCCCGATCTGGATCCAGTCACAAAACACCTCGTAACCACCATACTGAAAAATATAACAGGAAGATATTAGATAATCCGCATAAATAATAGGGAACCAACTCCCGACTAAACCCTAAGGGATGTGACTTCCTTGCTACACGTATGGGTCCTGTGCTTTCAGTAGTATGGGCCCATACTACCTTCCACACCTACCCATATTTGTCTCAAGTATCACCACAACACCCTAACAATATACGTTCACATGGTGGTCACTCAATCCTCACTCCTACAAGAAAGCTAACTGTCTCACGTCGACCTATCGGCCCCACACAACTCACTCATCCATGAAACTTCCACCAACCTTGAAGCACTAGTGTATGCTAGCCATACATAATGTTGGACCCTATAGACTTTCGAATATCTGATGCTACCCTAAGCCCCTAATCAACAAGAACAGAACATAAGGCCAAATCAAACATTCTCAGGCTATAAGATCTTAATTCTGTACAGTCGTAATGCATACACAAGCAACTACAATGATGATGTAAAACTCATATAAGGAAAACCCTAGGCTAGCAAGCATCATCTAATTAGGCAATTCTATCATGCAATTCTTGAAGATCCCTAGCCTAGTACTAGCATGTTTTTCTAACATATCACAATATCAAATAACCGTATGGTATTTTGGGGTCTACTTACTGGCTCTGGGTGATCGTACACCCTACATCCTCCTTTTCTCATTTTGAAAACCATTTTAAAATTATTTTAAAGATCCTTCTTTGGTTTGAGACTGGATTCACACGAATGTTCCTCCAATTCACTCAAACCAAGGCTCTGATACCAACTTGTAACACCCATAAAAAATCATTCCAAATCTAAACTTTTTAAAACATTTAAAAACCAACAGTTATTACAAATTTGTTTTCAAAATAGTCTATATCAGAGTCTGCCAAAAACAACGTCATAAAAATTAAGGAGCAGTACGATGATGCCTTTGCCTTGTCGCGGTCCCCTGATGTACCAGAAACAATAAACTGAAACTATAAGACTAAGAGCTTAGTGAGTTCCCCCAAAATACCCACACACACACAATAATACACATATAATCATAAACAACATATTAGGGGTCCAGTCAACCATCGGGTTGGAATACCCAGGCCCTCAACTGTCCGGTTGGAATGCCAGCATACTATGGGTCCAATCATCCTCATGATGGAATACCCCAGGCCCACAACCAATAGGTTGGAATACCCACATACTATGAGTCAAATCATCCTTAGGATGGAATACTCACAGCCCACAACGAACAAGTTGGAATGTCCATGTCTATTGGCTTTCGCACAAAGCAGATAAGCATCAACCGACAAACAACATGTGCACATATAACAAATAATGATATAATAGTCTATAGACAAACAAACCGATCTAACAGATCATAATATCCTAGCACATCCTATCTATCAGGATACTGATCTAACGGATCATATCAACATGTAACATCCTACCTATCAGGATACTTATCTAACGGATCATAATGGCATATAACATCCCATCTACTAGGATACCGATCTAACGGATCATAACGACATATAACATCCCATCTACTAGGATACTGATCTAACGGATCATAACGGAATATAACACCCCATCTACCATGATACTGATCTAACAAATCATACAATACTCAAGCATACAACATATCAGGATAGCAATCCAAAATGGCCGGAGTTGGTGCTTAGACCCTTAAGTATAGTGAGGATAACTCACCTCTCAATTGTCGACTCAAAATATAGGCTCGAACTCTCAAATCACCGCCACAAATTCCACCACCTATATTCATCATAGAACCATATTCATAAATTTCCAACTTTGCGAAATATCCCAAAAACTCAATTAGCCAAACCTTGGTCAAAGTCAAAGTCAACGGTTAAGGTCAACAGTCCATGTTGACCCGACTCATCGAGTGTAGTCACTGACTAACCGAGTCCTTCCATAACTCGAGTAGTCGTGAAATCCCCTCTTACTGACTCGTCGAGTCTCCCTTTAACTCGTCGAGTTCATGCATGTCCAAATGTCGGGAAAACCCCAGTTGACTCGCCGAGTCACCCCGCTGACTCGCCGAGTCCATGCAGAAGTCCTTGCACGACTATCTTCATTGGACTCGCCGAGTTGGCCATTCAACTCGCCGAGTCCCTTCAGTCTATTATCCATTCAGATGCTTATTAAGCCATTTTAAGGTTCCATATTGCAGATCTAGCGCCCCAAGGCATGTTTATCATGTAAAGTTGCAAACTTTACATGCATGCAAGGCTCTAAAGACTTATAATGTCAAAACCAAGCTTGTAATGGAGTTTTACACCTAAGGGGAGGTTCATACTTGCTAAAGTTGCAAGTTTTATGGACTTAGAGACCAAAGAGAGTTCAGATATGAAGTTAGAACTTTAGATCTTAACTCATACCCAAGAATAGCTTCATAATATGCTAAGAAAGCCCTAATCTTTAACCAAATGAGATCTAAAAGGAAATAAGGTCAAGATAACGAATTGATACCTTCCAGTGATACTAAATTGAGGTAGACTTCAAATCCACACATGTTCCTTGCTGCTAGCTACTTGATCTTCAAGCTCCTATCACTAAGATCCACCTTCCAAAGCTTAAAACACATAAAAATGGAGCACACACACGGATTAGGGTTTTTTGGACTCTCAAGAGGCTACAAGGGGGCTAAGGGAGGCTAATAATCCTTTAAATATGGTGCAAAACCCCTGAAATTAGGGTTTTATCCTCCAGCTCCTACCCGCCGAGTCCTATTTTGGACTCGGTGAGTTGGTTACTTAAACACGTGGCCTAACTCGCTTCTACTCAACGAGTCAGGTCATCCAACTTGTCGGGTAGACCTTGCAATTTATGAAAATTAAAGCCATAAAATTATTACCTGAGAGTCGGGGCGTTACATTTATCCAATTGAACTTTCTATTTGTGTCATCGAAATACTTCAATTCAATAGTGTTTTATGACTTTTAGTGGATTTCAAGCAATCATTTACCCCATTTTTCTAAAGTGTGATGTTAAACCATTTAATTATCAATAATGGCCATTAAAATTTTATTTAATATAGTTAAAAATAAAAATATAATTTGAAAATCTTGCATTTGAGGTGAAAATAAAGACAGAAGGCTTGTTAATTATCGTACGTATACAAATCACGTATTAAATGTTGCTTATTCATTAAGATTTAAAACTTTAGATTCGTTTACGCAATATTATTTTTTTTGTTACACTATTTGATAGATAAGCTTTAGGATGGGACTTTCGGCGTTTAAGGTGCGTAATTTCATATATATATATATATATATATATATATATATATATATATATATATATATATATATATATATATATATATATATATATATATATCTCCCTATCTAATAAACAAAACCAACTGGACACGTGTCATTACAATCATCCATTTTTCGCCCTATGTTAAATTACTCTATTACCCCTTCAGCATCCTTTCACGTATCATCATCATCATTAGGTAATAGATAAAATAGGTAATTAGGTATGGAATTGAATTAGATTATATTATATTATATATGGAATATATGGAATACGGAATTTCACGTAGCATTACAAATTGAATATGGATGGAAATACTGATATTGTATAGAAATCTTTGGAATATTGAATCTGCTGTATACATTAAATCAATTCCGTTAGATGCCCGATTAAGAGCATCTAAAAATGGTATGCATATCAATCAATTATTATTATTATGCGCATAACATACTATATCAATCATATTCCGCTTCAATTACATAATTCAATCCCTACGACCGTCTCTGCATCTCAATTCTGCTTCTTAATTTCGAATCTTGAATCAGCAACTTCAATCCTTCGGTGAGTTTCTCATGATTAACTATCATTGCTTCTCAATGTTTGTGTTAATCGTATAATTGAAATTTTTTTTCTTCTTCTGCGACTTCAATTTTGCTTCTCATTGAATTTGTTAATCAAGGTTTGTATTTATCTTTGATTCAGAAGTTCTTTATTAATTATTTTCGTCTGATTTATCAAACCGTTTATATAATAAACAAAAAAGTATCAATTTCTTTTTGAAGTTCCTGTTACACTATATCCCATTTTTAGTAATTTATTCTCAAAGAACAATGCTATAATCTGTAATTTATCATCTTTTAGTTTAATTTTATGGGCAAGGATGTATTCATTTTAAAATGGTATATTGGTGCATGCATTCTTGGGAATGTGCTTTGATATTATTTGAGGTATTCTATTAAAAAATATTCTAATCAAGCTGTCAAATGAGATTTCTCATAATGTTGAACACGCAACAGAATAAACAATGCATCAGATGTCAATTTTGCCCTTTGTCAATTCTTTTGATGAGCTCTAAAATTTCAATCATTTAAATTCCATAAATTAAGACTACAATTTCATCATTTTATGACCCCCATTTGCGAAGTTGAGTATTTATTTCCAAAAATGCGAAACTCCAGGGACAATATTTGAAAATTTCTGTTTTCTTCCCCAATTCGCATTCTACTGTGAAATACTTCGCATCTTCATTCTTACACCCTTCGCATCCCTTCGCATTAATCACCTTCGCATTCTACTGTCAATTCTTTTGTATCTCTTTACAAATTCTGCAATTTCATCATTTTATGACCCCCATTTGGGAAGTTGAGTATTTATTTCCGAAGATGCGAAACTCCAAGGACAATATTTGAAAATTTCTGTTTTCTTCCCCAATTCGCATTCTACTGTGAAATACTTTGCATCTTCATTCTTACACCCTTCGCATCCCTTCGCATTAATCACCTTCACATTTTAACCTAATTAATCAAATGTGAACCACAAAATTTTCATTCCAGATGCGAACACAGTTTAGTTCTTGAACTCTAAACTTGCGAAATCAAAACTTTCTGTTTTATGGCTGTTTATAGCATTTAACTTTTATTTTCTGTCAAATTTAGCATCTTACTTGTGTACTTTTCTGTTATAGTGACAATGGCAGAAACAAAGATCACTTTCATTAGAGACTTGGACAATATGAATGATGATTACACAGTAAAAGTGTCTATTATCCGGCTGTGGAAATCACTTTCAGATGGCAACCCCACTATTGTCAGATCAATTGAGATGATACTCATGGATGAAATGGTAAAATCTACTATTTTCATAGCATTATTCAAAAACATTTTTTTTATTTGATCATTCCAATAATATTATTCAAACTCAATCATTGAAGATGTTATCTTCAATGTTGACCAATTTATATTTATTAAAAATTCCGTTTTTAACATTATATAATATTCTTACCGTATGTGAATAGTCTACAAAAATCCGAGCAAGTGTGTATCCAAGAGATTTTCAAAGGTTTGAGTCCAAATTGAAAGAAGATCAAGCTGTTTACATCCGGTCCCCCACTATCGCTCCTAACAAATACACTTTTAAAATAAGTGATGTAACCTCCAAGTTAAATTTCCATAGAAGAACAACTGTTAACGAGTGTCTACACTTTCAATCCAAAACAAAATATGGATTTTCTTTTGTTTCTTTTGAAACAATTATCTCTGCAACAACTACATCTAATGAATCAATTGGTAATTTCCCTCCTTATTGATTGTATATTATATTTAATTCTTTAAATTCACATCATTTTGACATTCTGTATTATCATTTTGTAGATATTATTGGTGAAGTTGTTTCATTAGGAAAGCTTGATTCCCGTGATGTCAGCAAATCTCTACATAGGTTGCCTTTACAAATAAGAAACTTAGAGTAACCAAAACTTTTTTTATATTATATCTTATATCTTATATCTTATATTCATTACTTTACAACTTGCATGTACAATTTTAGTATTATATATTCATTTAACCATTATTATTTTTGCAGAGGTTTGCATGTTAATGTTACGTTGTTTGGAGATATTGCATACCAGTTAATTTCTTATCTTGAATCTCATAAAGAAGTTGGTTGTATGATTGTCCTTTTGCAATTTGCAAGAATTAATGTCTATAACGGTAAATTTTTTATACCAATCAACCTTATTTTAGTCTTTTATATTACTCATTCTATTTACTATTTTATTTTGTTTCATCAGCAACACCTTCTGTGAACAGTTATTTTGAACACACACGGATGTTCATAAATGCTAATCTTCCCGAAATTGTTACATTCACAGATAGGTAACTGTACCTTTTAATAATTCATCGTTTTGTTGTTTCTGTTCAATAATTTTATAATTTTATTTTCAAACTCCTAAATTAAAAACAGCTTGGTTGGATTAAGAGGACTTCAAAACCCTTCTGCTTCTTTGACTGTTGAAAGCTCTAAATCATATTCGGAATTTGATGACTTTTTGAATAACTACAAAGTTAAAAATGTTGTCGATTTGATAGAACCACAAGAGGTATGTGAATATTTTATCTGTATTGATGTCATATTGTTTTCTATTTAACAGATAATAAAATTATAATGTTTTTTATGATCGTTTTGATTTTATTTTAGGTCGGCCAATATATCATTGTCGGGACCATTTATGGTATTCGCCAAGATATTGATTGGTATTATGATGCGTGTACAAACTGTGGAAAGAAAGTTCAAACAGAAGATTTGTTCAGTGGTGCAGATAGTGGTGATGCAAGTGTTGTTTTAAAATGCAATGGTGATAATTGTAAAAATAAGACGATCTCTTCTGTTCCAAGGTTTTTTTACATTTAAGAAAATATCAACAGAACAACTTAACTACATTATTAACCATTAAACATATTTAATGTTTATTTATCTGGGAATTTTTTATAGGTATAAAATACCTATTCGTGTGCAAGATGATTCTGGAACAATCACTCTAACTCTCTTCGATAGAGATGCTTATAGAATCGTCAAAAAACGCGCACGTGATCTTATAGATAAAATCAAACAGGTATAACGTAATTTTAATTTTTGTTTTCTTAATTGTTGTTATTTGTTGTATTTTCTTTAGTTTAATGTGCTTTTAAACATAAATATATTATATAACACATTTATTCCAGGCTGGGGATAACACATTTAATGTGCTTTTAAACAATCACTCTAACTCTCTTCGATAGAGATGATTATATCCTTACGACCTCAAATGTTTGGAGCATAAAAAGATGGCTTTTAAGATAGATGTTAACAGTTTTAATGTATCCAATAACTACAATCGGTTTGGGATACTTGGCGTTTCGGTTGATAGTAACGTTATCGATGCTTTGGAAAAAAAGTTAGCTGTCGAGGTATTTATATATTATTTTTATTTGTTTTTTTAAAATTACTTTTTATGATGCATATTTTTTTAATGATCTTCACTAATAAATTGTAAATCTATATTGATTTACACCTATGTCCCACAAATTATATAAATATTTAAATTTCTGATTCAGGCAGGTAGTCCTGCAAATGCTGATGATACAGAAATCGCATCTCATGAAGTATCTCAAGAAACAAAGTCCTTAAAGGTTATATTATAAATTATCATTATTTAATTTTATATAATCTATTAAAAAGATTACTTTTTCTTAATATTTTATTACTAAACCTATTTACAACATTTTGTTTTAAGGATGCGATATCGCAAACAGGTGATAATTTGACCCCAACATTGCCCGACAAATTTGAAGCTACAAGTCCGTTCAAGTATAATTCCCCAACAACAGTAAAAAAACGAAATGTTGGAGATACCATTGATGTTGATGATTATGATAATGTGACTTCATCCACCAAGGTCCCTCGATTGAATTCTAAAGTTGATGGCAACACAGGTCTATTAATACCAAAGCTCGAAAAGTAATTTGAGATTGTCCTTTTTTAATCAACAATGTTCTTGAATTTGGATTTTTTTTTTGGATTCTCTTTCACAGTATTGCTCTTTGTGGTGTCTACTGTTCAAACATTGATACTTCTTGCTTTATTTTCGCTGGTATTCTATATTTTAATACGATTATCATTTTATGGTTATCATTGTAATTAGACTAATCTTCTTTTAATAAATGTGTGGCATATATGTTTATGAATTTATGTGTAAAATAAGCAAATAAATATGTTTCTAAAGACTCTTATCAGAAATATACTAAATATTTAACGATGGTGGTCTTGATAAGTATTAGTTCGTTTCAAGCATATACAAATAAGTATATTACATACAACTAAATTACATTACATGTATTTACAATCATATATACTAATAAAGCATATACAAATAAGTATATTACATACAACTAAAAAATCCAAATTAAATTAGACAATTATAATCAGCACACAGAAAAAAACAATCAAACAGTCAAGAAGAAAGTACATTGGTAGGCTGTTACGATTAAATTAGACAATTATAATATGCGTTTTTCCAGGTGAGTATTCATATAAAATATTTATTTCCTTAATTAAAACAACAAAACATATATATTTTTTTTTTATTTTTCCAATTTGCATAACTTTTTTTATTGATTTAATAAAGTTGCATACCAAATTGTTAGGCTGTTACGATTTCACCACCTAAAATATGTATATTTGTATTATAATATATTATCTTGTTAGTATTTCATGAATGCAATCAATAACACTGCTTTGAATGCGAAGTTGGATTTAGCTTTGCTATAAGTTTCAATCGATTTTGAAATTGAGTATTGTTCGCATTTGTATGAGTGTAGTCGATGAATCGATAAAGCAAGAACATATGAGTTTTGATTCGCAATTGGATTGATGATTGAGGGATGATTCGTGAAGAAAAAAGCGAAGTCAAGGACTGTGAAATTGTTGTTTGCAAGAATTTAAAAACTCGATTGTGGAGTTGTTGATGCTCATTTTGCGAAAGTAAAACAATCGAGTGTTTGCATCTGTGAATCAATTTGAAGTCAACTGGGTTAATATTCGCATATGGGTTCAACATATGAATTTTTGATTTCGCAAGTTTAGAGTTCAAGAACTAAACTGTGTTCGCATCTGGAATGAAAATTTTGTGGTTCGCATTTGATTAATTAGGTTAAAATGCCAAGGTGATTAATGCGAAGGGATGCGAAGGGTGTAAGAATGAAGATGCGAAGTATTTCACAGTAGAATGCGAATTGGGGAAGAAAACAGAAATTTTCAAATATTGTCCCTGGAGTTTCGCATTTTTGGAAATAAATACTCAACTTCGCAAATGGGGGTCATAAAATGATGAAATTGCAGAATTTTTAAACAGATACACACACATAGACAACCACACATATATTTAGAATAAATTATTTAAAAAAAAATTTCTTTCAGTTATAAATTCCTAAAAACTTCCTTACTAAATTGAACTTTTCTTTCAAACAAAGGAATCATATACAGATCAAATTTTATAAAATTTTTCCTATGCCTTAACGTTGTCCTTTGGAAGCATAAATAAATATAAATATAAATATAAATATAAATATAAATATAAATATAAATAAATATAAATATAAATAAATATAAATATAAATAAATATAAATATAAATATAAATATAAATTAATAAATAAAACGATTGTTTTAATTTTTGACTACTGTCCTACCAAAAATTCACGTTCCTATCAATGTTAAATCTCATTTTTACCCCTGATTGGTTTCACGTACTATTACAATCTTTGATTTGATTTGATTAATAATCGAAATATCCATATTTTGTAATTTGAAATTTGAATATGGAATAACTGCTGTATACATTAAATAAATTCTGTCACATGCCCGATTAAGAGCATCTATAAATGGTATGCATATCAATCAATTATTATGCGCATAACATACTATATCAATCATATTCCGCTTCAATTACATAATTCAATCCCTACGACCGTCTCTGCATCTCAATTCTGCTTCTTAATTTCGAATCTTGAATCAGGAACTTCAATCCTTCGGTGAGTTTCTCATGATTAAGTATCATTGCTTCTCAATGTTTGTGTTAATCGTATAATTGAAAATTCTTTTCTTCTTCTGCGACTTCAATTTTGATTCTCATTGAATTTGTTACTCAAACTTTCTATTTATCTTTGATTCAGAAGTTGTTTATTAATTATTTTCTATCTTAAATTCTTTATTCGATCCACTAAATTGATCATCAATGTGTATGTGTATGTGTAAAAATAACCTTGTCTTACGTATGTCTGTGTTAATCATCACAGACATTGATCACATGTACTGTTTGAATGGATTGCTATTATCTTTGTACTTCCAATTTCGATTTTCTGTATTCTTTAACTATGAAGAAGAGCAAATTGGACTAATATACCCCTACCACGGCCTGCAATTTTTTTAATTGTTATGCCCATAAGCGAAAGGAATAACAATGCCCATATATGATACTGTGTGTCAAACACATACTATAATTTTAGAAAATATATTGAATAAAATAATACTCGAGCTAAGAAAGATACAACCTGATATAAGTTCTCAATTCAGGTTGCAAATTATGAGAGTAGATAAGTTTTGAATTTTTAAAACAAAGTGATCTGACAAGAAAAAAATTAAACCCAAACAAATATATACAGTAATAAGTTTTGACATCTAAGGAGATTTTTATATTTATAACCAATCAAACAATTCAAAAACATCTATTATGTGAATTCTGATGTTGGAAAGGATTAAAACAATCATAATTTTATGTTCAAAACCAATGTTATTATGAACTCTTCTAGCAACCAACTATTATGAAGAAAATGAAACACTAGCACCAATTTAAAAATCAACTATTATGGTATCTGCAACAAAATTCGGAAACATTACATATAAAGCCATTGTACTTTAGTATTTCATGTCATACGTAAGTTCAATCGACAACATTTTTTTTTAACTAGGTTACAACCCGTGGAAACCACGGGTAAAAGATTTATAAAAAATTATTAAACTAATTAATATATAAGTTTTATTTATACAAAAACAAAAAGTTATAATAAAATATGTTTAAATAAATTAATGATGTGAATAATTACTAAAAAAATAATTGCATAACCACAAACCAAAAAAAATCAAATTCATATTTTCTTCCATTTCAGATAGCAACTACTAACATGGACTCCTTCAAGACTAATAAGAAGATAAAATTAAATAATTTCTATCTGGATAATACAAAACAATTGCATTCGTACACTACATCAGTCAGTCAAATTCCAACTTCTACAAATGTTACTAACCCTGGTGATAACGGTACGTTCATTATATATTTTACAACTTTCTTTATCAATGTTTTTAATCTGAATTATAACTATTTCATGTGTGTATATTTGATTATGCAGCTTCAAATAGGAATATCTATCATGTTCAGGCTACAGAGAAAAGAAGAATAAGAAAATTATACTTGGACAATAAAAAAAAAGGTTTTACCGAATGAATCCATACAACTACATCAACATCACATCTTTTTAAAATAAATGAAAATAATAATTTACTTAATTCGTTATACACTTTTCTTCATTATTCTGTATTTAAATTTAAATTTAAATATCTAAATTCAATTTTCTCACATGCTCATTTTTTGTATTATGTCTTTTTGTATATTAATATTCATAGAATATTTTCGGGAGTTACATTATTATTTCAAATCTATCCATTTGTTATCACAATTTTTTTTTTTTGCAGCCAAATTCAAAGGATTTGTGCATCCAAATAAAAACCTATCCGCATCTACATCAAGTGTCAATGTTTCAAAAAAATCATATTTCCAAACTTCTCCTTCAAGTCTAAATGTTAGAACTCCGTTATCTAACATTTCAAATGGTAACTCATTGATACTACCATTTTATTTTATAATATATATTTTTATTGTATCACATTTAATAATGTATACCTTCAATCTTCTTTTACCAGTCATGGATATTTCCGATAACAGTTTTCAATCACGGTTACCAAACATCAGATTGAATTCAAACGGTAACATACTTGATTGCTTATACACTTTTTTTTCTCTCTTTTAAATCTGTAAAATAAAAATTCTGTCATCCATAGTTTTTTATATTATCTATTTATCATTATTAGTATTCATATACTATTTAAAAACTTACAACATTATTTAATATTTAACCATTTCTAATAAGATATTATTTCCAATCAAATTAAAAGGAGTTGTCGATCGAAATAAAAGTGTATCCACATCTACATCAACCGCAAATAGGTCAAAACAAACAATGTTACGTACTCCTCCTTCACATTTAAATGTTAGCAGTCCGTTATCTAACATTTCCAACGGTAACTCATTTATTTTTCCATATTTTTTTTTAATATATGTTCTTATTGTATCATATTTGATAATCTACATTTCAATCTTCTTTTCTCAGTCATCGATATTCCCAATAACAGTTTTCAGACACCATTACCAAACATGAAATTGGATTCAAACGGTAACGTACTTGATTGCTTTTAAACTTTTTAAGTTTTTTTAAAATATATGTAATAAAATTTATTACATCATCGTCTCTTTATCAATAATTCATATTCATATAATATTAAAATAATTATTAAACAATTTTACATTTCTGATAACCATTTTTTTTTATATGAATCCAAAGGAGTTGTACATCGAAATAAAAGCACATACCGATCAAAAACAAGTTCAAGTACATCAAAACAAGCAATGTTACAACCTCCTCCATCACATTTAAATGTTAGAACTCCGTTATCTAACATTTCCAACGGTAACTCATTTATTTTACCATTTAATTTGTAACATATATTATTATTGTATCATATTTAACAATGTATACTTTCAATTTTTTCCGCAGCCATGGATATTTCCAATAATAGTTGTCAATCGCCGTTAACAAATATTAGACAATTCTCTGTATTTTCAAATGGCGAA